ACTGTGAAGTTTTTTGTAGCATTTGCTTATTATCTTTTTAATAGTTACATTTTTGTACATGGTTTCTTTTAGCTCTTTGACCATATTTAAAATAGTTTGATTAAAAGTTTTATGTATTTTTCTTGTAAATTTGTTTGAGTTCTTTGTAGGTTCTGGATATTAGCTTTGTCAGATGAGTAGATTGCAAAAATTTTCTCCCATTCTGTAGGTTGCCTGTTCACTCTGATGGTAGTTTCTTTTGCTGTGCAGAAGCTCTTTAGTTTAATGAGATCCCATTTGTCAATTTTGGCTTTTGTTGCCATTGCTTTTGGTGTTTTAGACATGAAGTCCTTGCCCAACCCCATCAAAAAGTGGGCAAAGGATATGAACAGACACTTCTCAGAAGAAGACATTTATGCAGCTAACAGACACATGAAAAAATGCTCATCATCACTGGCCATCAGAGAAATGCAAATCAAAACCACAATGAGATACCATCTCACACCAGTTAGAATGGCGATCATTAAAAAGTCAGGAAGCAACAGATGCTGGAGAGGATGTGGAGAAATAGGAACACTTTTACACTGTTGGTGGGACTGTAAACTAGTTCAACCATTGTGGAAGACAGTGTGGCGATTCCTCAAGGATCTAGAACTAGAAATACCATTTGACCTAGCCATCCCAAAAGATTATAAATCATGCTTCTATAAAGACACATGCACACGTATGTTTATTACGGCACTATTCACAATAGCAAAGACTTGGAACCAACCCAAATGTCCATCAATGATAGACTGGATTAAGAAAATGTGGCACATATACACCATGGAATACTATGCAGCCATTAGAAAGGATGAGTTCATGTCCTTTGTAGGGACATGGATGCAGTTGGAAACCATCATTCTCAGCAGACTGTCTCAAGAACAGAAAACCAAACACCGCATGTTCTCACTCATAGGTGGGAATTGAACAATGAGAACACTTGGACACAGGAAGGGGAACATCACACACTGGGGCCTGTTGTGGGGTGAGGGGAGGGGGGAGGGATAGCATTAGGAGATATACCTAATGTAAATGATGAGTTAATGGGTGCAGCACACCAACATGGCACATGTATACATATGTAACAAACCTGCATGTTGTGCACATGTACCCTAGAACATAAAATAATTTTTTAAAAAGTTTTTTGTCCAATTCTGGGCTTCCTAAAGTATAATTTCCATTAATGTTTTTCCCTTAGAATGGGCTACTCTTTGCTTTTTCTTTGCATGCCTTGTAACTTTTGTTGAAAACATTTTGGATATATGGCAGCTCTGGAAATCGACTCTTCTCACTTTCTAGGGTTCCTGCTTCTTGTCTTTGTTTAGTGTGTATTTGAACTAATTTGTAGTCTGTTGTCTTTGTTATGTGTGGCTACTGACTTTGCTGTTATTTTAGTGGTCAGCTAGTGATTGCAGAGATTTCTTTAAATAATACCAAAGGAACCAAAGGGGGAAAAATTCTCCTAGTTTTTGCAGAAGGGCTCTGTGTGTGTTTGTTGAGGCACACCTTCAATACTTAAACCAGGTAGTTTTCTACTCTGCCTGTTAAAGTTTTCAGCAGAAGCTTCAGATTTCTCTAATGATACCTTATGTTTATGATGTGGGCGAATTCAGGAGTATTACATTATTTTAAACAAAACCAGAGAATATTTCTAAATGACTGCTTCCTGCTTGGCATTGGGCCTTCCCACTTGACTTTGAATCTTCTCTTTGTCTTGCTTCCCAGAGAAACTCTGTCTTTGCAGCTCTCCTTGCTGTATCTCCTTGTTCTTTTTACTTGATGCTTATTGGCATGGTGGTGGTGGAAGATAGGGAAAGAAGGGCATTCTCTGATATTCTCATTAAACCTTAGTCTTAGGTGAACCTGAGTCTCAGGATGAGATCTTCATGAGTGTTTGGTCCCTCCTTCGTATGTAATGCTGGGCCTAGCATGTATCCCTGCCCCTCTCACAATGAAAGAACTGTTGTTGCCTTGTTTTCCCAGTCCTCCTCTTCCCAATTGCTGCTTAAAGGAGATAAGGAAGATAGGTCTGCCTAGGTAGAATTTTTAGTGATGACTTTTGGTCCCCTTGCCCAGCTGCAGAGGGTTTCCACTAGTGCTTTTAGCTATAGTTTCTGTTGCCCTCCCCTCTGCAGATTAAGGGTTTTGATCTGTAGAGGAAATAGGGAAGATGGCTTGTGAGTGCTCTTCCCCTGCATAGCCAGTGCTGCAGGGGAAAGTTTTTATAGGATTTTTCTCAATCTTTTCTTAAGCACCTGGTATGTTTCCTAGAAGAAAAGCCTGCTAGAAAGTGTAAATCTCTCTATTTCAGGAGATTCATATTTTTACAGTAGCCTACATTCTACCTTTAGCAATTTATTAAGGACTTTTCATTGAAACTTCTTACCAGTCCTCGGTAGCTTATGTCCCAGGTAAGCAAATGTCAGGATTCTGTTTCTCTAGGCATGTGTCTCTATCCAGATTTTGGGTACTTGATTGATCTGGGACCTCATTTCTATGGTGGACTTGTCTATTTAATTTGCAGTTTGTCTAGATTTTTTTCTTGTTGTAAAGGTGGGAGTATGCTATTTCTATATCTCTCCAGAAAGAGCTGAAACTGGAAGTTTTAAAGTCTTTATTTTTATAGCACTTTTCTTTTTCTTTTTGACTTAGGAAGCAGAAATTCATTATGAAGAGCAGATTGGTAAAATTATTGTGGAGACACAGGAACTTAAATGGCAAAAGGTAAGTGATATGGTTAAGGCTTTGTGTCCCCAGCCAAATCTCATCTTGAATTGTAATCCATATAACTCACACATGTTAAGGGAGAGACAAGGTGGAGGTAATTGAATCATTTGGGTGGTTTCCCCATGCTGTTCTCCTGCTAGTTCTCGTGAGATCTAATGGTTTTATAAGGGGTTCTTCCCTCTTCGCTCAGCACTTCTCCTTTCTGTCACCTTGTAAAGAAGGTGCCTTGCTTCCCCTTCTCCTTCCATCATGATTGTAAGTTTCCTGAGGCCTCCACAGCCATGCTGATCTGTGAGTCAATTAAACCTCTTTCCTTTATAAAGTACCCAGTCTTGGGCAGTTCTTTATAGCAGTATGAAAGCTGACTAATACAGTGAGTATTTTTTTTCTCTCAGATTCGTATTTATAGCATCTATTTTAAAATGTATTCTAATCCTTATTGCCAAGTTAATTTTTAAATTTTCTAACAGATTCAGGGGTTAGTGGATTATTTAAATAAAATCTCAAGAAAATCCCAACTAAAGCCGTTGGTAACATTTAGGCTTCCAGAAAACTGAGAATAAAAATTTTGTTCAGGCTTTTTGATACAGCACTGTGAATAACTCTGAAAACTATTTTACATCTGAGAAACACATTGTGTGTTACAGGGGAATGAGAATATTTTGAAAGCAATGAAACCTCATAAGTAGTACCATATTTTCCCAGGGTGTTATTACATAATGTAACCAAATATTAAAAAATAGTGTCAGCTCTTATTTTCTCCGTAGCTTTATCTGTATTGAAGCATTTATGATAGTGTTTCTCATGCTGTTCCATCAGAGTAATCTTAACAACTAAAACCTGGAAGTGTAATTATGCTGATTTCTGTTCTCATTGTTTGGTAATATTGAAACAGGAATTGGGGGTAACATCAGAATCAGAAGTCAGGTGATAGTGGATAGACAAAACTAGAAATAATTGGAATTTCGAGGTTAGACAGATCCAAAGGTTGTGCAGATTATGGGAGTAAAATCAGGGTTGAATTATTTGAAGGACAAGTATGAAACAGACCTATCTGTGGAGGGAAAGAATATGGAGGGAAATAATATGGAGGGAAAGAATAGGTAAATACTAAGTACAACTAATTTTCAAGCAGATTTTAAAATGTAAAGTTATATCTTGTTTTTGCATAGAGCTAACAGCATAAAGTTATCACAATCCCTAAGGTAATCAGTAAGTTTAATGAACCCAATTTAACAAGCAACTGCAGTGAGTAGCTCACACCTGTAATCCCAGCACTTTGGTAGGCCAAGGCAGGAGGGTTACTTGAGGCCAGGAGTTCAAGACCTGGGCAACATAGTGAGACCTTGTCTCTATTTAAAAATACATATATTAGCAGGACATGGTGGCATGTGCCTGTAGTCCTACCTCCTCAAGAGGCTGAGGTGGGAGGATCACTTGAGCCCAGGAGTTTGAGACTGTAGTGAGCGATGTTTGTGCCATTGCACTCCAGCCTGAGTGCAAAGTGAGACGCTGTCTCTAAAAATAAATAAATCCAATTTACAATGTCAAGAACATGTTAAGCTTATTCTAAGGTTTATGTGGAAATAAACATATAAGAGTGACTGGGAAATTATTTAAAAAGAAGGGAATGAAATAGTCATACTTGATTCTTAAACATAATATAAATTGTCATAATTAAAATAGCTTGGTGCAGTGTACATAGTTAGTAAAACACAACAGAATCTAGAAATAGATCCAAATACATAAGACAATTTAGTGAATGTTAACAGTGGCTTTTAAATCAGTGGGGAAGAACAGATTATTCAAGAAATGGTATTAGAGCTGGATTTCATCTGAAGAAAAAGCCAGATTCCTACCTTTACCAACTTTTAGAAAAACAAGAACTTTCATTTGTTGTTAGGAGTGTAAATTAGAACTGCCTCGTTGCATTCCCTCAAATATCACCAAAGAACTTGTTAATAAAGCAGGTGTGTTTATTGAAACTCATTGCAATAAGTGAAAACACTACAGAGTCTTAGTATTTCAAAAGGTGCAAATCAGTATTGGACTACGTAGAGGGTTATAGGGTCTAGGTGCAAGTAGATTTAGGCAGTTCTTTTAAGGCAGGATGTTGATGGGAATTGGGCAAATTTTGTAACGTAGTATTTAGGATTGTGAATGTAGCAACATTGAGGCTCTTGAAGCTACTCTTGAGAATAGTTGTTTGATAAACCAGATGTTTACCCAAATAAACCATTGTCTTAGATAAGTTGTTTTGCAGCAGTTGCCTGAAACAAACAGTGATATAATTTATTGGTTTTTATAGTCTTATATTTACTGGGCAAAGATTTCCTGGAACAAAAAACTAAGTTGTGTTGACACAGGTATTCTCAGTTCTTACTCCAAATAGCTCTGTTATATTGATGCAGGTGGTTTCAGTTATCAGTCCCCTTTTGCTTCTTCAACCTGAGCTGGAAAAAAAAAACAAACCATTGTTATTTAGGATGTGATCAATCAAGATTTATGCTGCTTGATGAAGAGTCATGATGACATGTAGGTGGTTTCTGGTGGGGGGTGTGTGTGTGTGTGTGTATCAGTTTTTCCTTTTGTTGGATCATAATTTGTTGGATCATTTTATAGGACCGTGGCTATCCAACAGTATTTAAGACTCCAGAAGTCACACTTCTGAACACACCAACATGGAAAAACACTAAGGAAAAGTTTATTATCAGAACTTGTAGATCACTTTTAAGCCAGCAGCCAGGAATACCTATATTAAATCAAGAGAACAGAGGCCATCCCCAAATCAAAAATTTCCATTAGTAATTGTACTCACACCATAGAGTGGCCAAGAATATAGAGAGCAATATTAAGGATAAGGGTCTTTGAAGCCATCATGGTTAATAAATGATATGTTTTTACTCACTTAAGGGGCTGGATTAAGAAAGGGGAAAGAAAGTATCTCAGAAAATAAAGAACAAAAGCTTGCAAATAAAAGCATTGCAATCTTTGGCTCTGATTATCTAGGTAGGGTGTTAGCAAGCTTTTTATGTAAATAGCCGTCTAGTAAATATTTCAGGCTTTGTGGACGGTATGGTCTCTGTCACAGCCACTCAACTCTGTTGTTATAGTGTAAAAGCAGCCATGGACAGTACTTACATGAATCAGCATGGCTATGTTCCTATAAAACGTTATGGACACTAAAATTTATATTTTATACAATATTCAGGTGATTTGAAATGTTATTCTTTTTTTATTTTTCTTTTTAACCCATTAAAAATATAAAAACCATTCTTGGTTCACGGTCCATATAAAAACAGACTCCGTAGGTCTTGGGTAGAGGCTGTCTTGATCCATACCTCTTGAATGGTAGCTGTTTCTTTCTGAAGATGTCTGCTTCTGAAGCTTTCTCAAGACTCCTTAGATTTAAATTTCTTGATGGAATGGCATTCTGTGTATTAGTGAAACCTAGTGTCTGTTCATCTGGGAGACATGAATTCAAGGATCTATTCCCCAGGGGTTTAACCACTGGGCTAGCAGTCAAAGTTCTTGGTAGGATTATTTCCAATATGGTTTCAGGATGTTTGTTTTTCCTCTCTGAGGTCATTTCCAGAAGACACTACCTCTGAGCTTTTGGTCATGTAGAAGAAAAGCAACTTTTATCTGTTTGTGATTAGACTCTGAAACATATTACATTAGTCCCTTGGAGTACTTTGCCACATTTTTCTGAAGTAAAGAAATGTCCAAAATGAAGGGCGAAGTAGCCAACTTCATAGGGCAAACTTTTAACAAGTTTATATGGTAAAAGCCAGTGAATGTAGGGGAGTATGGACTTCATGATGTTATGAGTTAGAGGTAACCTTGGTCATGGAAGTTTAAGTGTGTCAGATACACTGTGCCGTTAGTCCTCTCTACTTTTCTTCAAGTTTGAGGATGATGGGGGCAATGAATTTCTAAGTAAATGACAAGGTTTTGCAAAGTTCTCTAATGAAGTCCCAGTAAAATGAGTAACCCAGTCCCTGGAGATCCTCAGGTTGTAAACACAAAATCAAGTAATTTTTTTTTCTACTCACAGAATTGTAGCTCTCTGGCAAGAAGTTTTAGTTCATCCTGAGAAGATGGAAGCAATGATGAACATATTCAGAACGCATTCTAGGGGTTAATTTTAGGAAATCCATTTGGAAGTGTTTATAGGCACCCTAAGGCTTGGATTTACAAGGATAACAATTTTACCAGGACAGTGCTAATGACAGCTATATACCAGAGACATCCTCAGCAATTTTAGTAAAATTTCACCACCAATGCTAATTGAGTATAATGTTCAATTTGTCCTTGCTCTGATGGGTAATTTCCTATAAAATTTTTACAAAGTTCCATTGAGGTCCTCTGGTGCCACCAAGTGTCTGTCCTGAAAGTGTCCTGAAAGATATTTTCTTTTTGTAATTTATTATCACGTTTTTTTCTTCAGACTCTGGAGCCAGTTGTAGGCATTCCAAAATAACCTTTTAAAACGTCTTCAAAGATTTGACTTTTTGGATATCATGGGGGCCAGGACTGTATGTCATAAGATTAGCTAGGATATTTCCTCTGGCCTTAATGTTATCCCTTTTAGTGTGACTTTATGATAGCCATCCCCTAAGGAAGCATTAGAAAACTTAAAATGAAATTGGGATTCCTATTGAGATCAGAAACCCTAATTATTTGTACACTATTCCAAAATCATGGACTACACCAAAGGCATAGCTGCTATTAATGTTAACTCTCTAATGTCTTGACAATTGGCAAGCTTTGATGAGTAGAATAAGTTTTGTCATCTGGGCTGGTTTAACCTCTGGTAAGGAGTCACGATTTAGGGGTCAGTTGACACTGTTGCAGTATATCCTGCCTGATACTTTTTCCGTTTTACTTTCAAAAAATGACCTATCAACAAACAAGATTACATGTAAATTTAATCTGGGGGAGTTTCTAATAAATCTGTCTGAAGCACAGTTATTGTTCAGACAGAGACTAACTCGTTATAGATTTCCCTTTCTTTGGGTACTGGAAAAACGGTACCAGGCTTTTTGTTAAACTTGTCTATGAGTAACATTTATTAGAAATAGAGATCAAAGAGATATACTTTATATAGGAAGTTATTGATTATCAAAATATTTCTTGAAAGAAAGTTTGGTGGGTGTTCTGTTCAATCCCCATCTCTCTTACTACATTAGTATATTTTTTCATTAAGATATAAAAGCATTTTAACCTGCTTCTATTCAAGCATTTATATATGCTATATAAAAAATGAACAGTATATATATACATATTTATAATGAATAACACATAAAAAGTAAATTATTATATACATGTATGTAAGCTTAGGTAAGATTATATGACAGACTTATTGGCAATTTTAGGGGGCAATTGTCAAACGGTATTATTGCATAGTTTGTGCAATTAAAAATTAAAGAGAAATAAGCAATTAGTTTTTCTTTTTCAGTTTTCATGCCTCTTTATTTTTCATTTAGATCTTTATTTTAATTGAAAAATAAATATTGTATATATTTATGGGCTACAATGTGATGTTTTGATATACCTGTGTATGTATACATTTTTGTGGAATGGTTATACCAAACTAATTAATGTATCCATCACCTCAATGCTTATTTTTTTGTAGTGAGAATATTTAAAATCTACTTTTACCAATTTTGAAATATACATATTTATTAACTATGTTTACTACATGCTGTGCAGTAGATCGCAAACTTATTCTTCCCATCTAACTGGAACTTTGTACCCCTTGATCAACATCTCCCTTCCCTCCACCCCAGACTCTACCTCCCCAGCTTCTTGTAACCACCATTCTACTCTCAACTTGTATAAGTTTGACTTTTTTAGTTTCCATATATAAGTGAGATCATGTGTTGTCTTCCTGTTAGTAGACTTTCAGATATTACAGCACTGGGTGGAGATGTGTAGGGGAGAAAGTAATAAAAGTTCATAGGAGGTGAACCTGCTTGCTGAGAAATGTGTTTTTAGTAAATAACAAGGATTGCACAGCATGAGGTATCATGAAGTCTAAATAAATCCTTAAACCACATTAGTAGAAGCCTCTACTAGTTTGACAGCTGCTAATACTGCCCTTGATAAGGAGTTGGCTTTTGCCATTAAGTCTAAGGGAAGACTGTAATAAGCAATTAGACCCTGATGACTCCCATGGTGTTCTGTTAGAGCATTAAGGGCTTGTCTATACTGCTGAGGTACAAATAGGTAGAAAGCTTTATGACAGCTGGAAGACCCAGAAAGGGGCGCTGTTAAGGTTTTTGTTTTTGTTTTTTTTCAGTAGGTTTTTAGGGAGCAGGTAGTGTTTAGTTACATGAATAAGTTATTTAGTGGTCATTTCCAAGATTTTGGTGCACCCATCACCCGAACAGTATATGCTGTACCCAATGTGTATTCTTTTATCCCTCACCCCTCTCCCACCCTTTCCCCTGATTCTGCAAAGTCTAGTGTATTTTTCTTAGGCCTTTCTGTCCTCATAGCTTAGGTGCCTCTTTTAAGTGAGAACATACAACGTTTGGTTTTCCATTCCTGAGTTACTTCACTTAGAATAAAGTCTCCAATTTCATCCAGGTTGCTGTGAATGCCATTATTGCGTTCCTTTATATGGCTGAGTAGTATTCTGTGGTGTGTATATACCATATTTTCTTTATCCACTTGTTGATTGATGGGCATTTGGACTGGTTCCATATTTTTGCAACTGCAAATTGTGCAGCTATAAACCTGGATGTATAAGTATCCTTTTTGTATCATGACTTCTTTTCCTCCAGGTCGATACCTAGTAGTGGAATTGCTGGATCAAATGGTAGATCTACTTTTAGTTCTTTAAGCAATCTTTAAACACTGTTTTCCATAGTGGTTGTACAAGTTTACATTCCTACAAGCAGTGTAAAAGTGTTCCCTTTTCACCACCTCCACACCAACATCTATTGTTTTTTAATTTTTTGATTATGGCCATTCTTGCAGGAGTAAGGTGGTATCACATGATGGTTTTGATTTGCATTTCCCTGATCATTAGTGATGTTGAGCATTTTTCTATATGCTTGTTGACCATTTGCATATCTTTTTTTTTTTTAAGACTCTGGATATTGTCCTTTGTCAGATGTATAGATTGTGAAGATTTTCTGCCACTCTGTGGGTTGTTTGTTAACTCTGCTGATTATTTCTTTTGCTGTGCAGAATCTTTTTAGTTTAATTAAGTCCCATCTATTTATCTTTGTTTTTGTTGCATTTGCTTTGGGTTCTTCACCTGTTCCCAGCCCCAAATGACTTCGCAGAGTCGTAGCCCTGGCTGTACCTCCCTTGCTGCAGCTGGCATCCTCACAACGGTGGCTCCAGATGGGCCACTACTGTCATCAATAAGAGGTCAAAAGATAAACTTTTTAAATTGCTAACTCAATGTATTATTTAGAAATCTGGAGCAAACAGCAGAAAAATTTGAAAGTGGTTGCCACTTTTAGACCTAATTTTTAAATGATGAGAATTATTAACTTTGATAAAAATAGAAGAACGTTAAAGTAATCTAGAATAGAAAGAACAGAACATGCAACTTCCACCAAAAAGGTGGGAGAAGGAGAAAAAGAGAAATGGAATCATATATAGATTTTTTTTTCAGAAATTCTCTGTGGTAGTTTTGGTTTGTAAAAAATTATTCCAATGAACTTAAAGGTGTATATGTTGCCAGGTAAGCATTTCTGCTTAGATCATAAAACTGGTTTTTGTTGTTATTGTTGTTGTTTTTGAAACTCTAAGACAATAGTCTGCTTGTATACTAGGACTGTTAATTTGTTAATTTTAATTACTTTTGGTTAAAAGATATTTTTCTTAGAGAACGCTTTGGAGCAAATAATGTCCAAAGTTTAAAAATTTTAGAAGCAATGTGTTTTTTTTCCATGAAAAAAGCAACATAAAGCAAAATGCTTATGTGATGATTCTATGACAATTAAAAAATTATAAAATTGGGCCAGGTACAGTGGCTCATGCCTGTAATCCCAGCATCTTGGAAGGCCGAAGTGGGTGGATCACTTGCTTCCAGGAGTTTGAGACTAGCCTGTGCAACATGGCAAAACCCTGCCTCTACAAAAAATACAAAAATTAGCCGGGCATGGTGGCAGACATCTGTAATACCAGCTACTAGAGAGGCTGAAGCAGGAGAATCACCTGAGCCCGGGAAGGTCGAGGCTGCAGTGAGCTGTGATTGTGCCACTGCATTCCAGCTTGGGCAACAGAGTGAGACCCTCTCTCAAAAAATAATCATAAAATTGGTTTAAAGTGGAATTCCAGGAACACAAAATAATATATGTAAAAGGTATGGTTAACTTTAAATTGTGAACCCAGTTAAGATTTAAAGCTGAAAGAGAGTTGCTAGAATGTATATTTTAACTTGTCATAATTTTTAAAACAGGAAACTCTTCAGAATCAAAAGGAAACATTGGCAGAGCAACACAAGGAAGCAATGGCAGTTTTTAAAAAGCAGGTAATTTCGTAAGGATAGACAAATACTACCATTTTAAATATTGTATTTCCTCCCCCTCCCATGAATATTATGGCAAGCTGTTCTCCATACTCACCAAAGACAAAAAGGAGAACAAGGTATTATGGGAAGTAGGAAATGAATAAAATAATTTTTAATCACAACTGAGAATAAAATGTAAAGTAGTAGAATGAGTTTGTTAAGGAGGGAAATTGGGAAAACTATTTTCTTGGAGATGAAGATATATTTTCATCTGTCCTAAATAATTTAGGTGAGTGGGATGTGTGTGTTGTTCTTTCCCCTTTCCTCTTTCTTTTAGTAGAACTTCCTAGGCTCTTGCCTCTTCCATAGTACCCCTGTACCAAAGTAGAGTTATAACATTATGATCAAAATCTGAGATGCAAGTAGGGAGATGTCAAGGATTAGAAGAGATGATTATTATGCACTGTAGCCTCCATAAATATCAATCATCAGTAACTAATAGTAGTACGAAAATGAGAAAAAAATCAAGACATAAATCGCTGTACATACCTTCAGCTAATTTGAATTCTGTAGCTCTTCTTGACTAAAATTTCTCTTCAGTTCCTAGTAAGAAAATATTGTAATAGTTTAAGAAAATGTGCTCATGTAAAATATCTTCTGAAAGTTTCCTTATCTCTATCTCACATCATTATTTTTTCATTTTTCCTTTCCTGTATTTATCTTCATCTTTATAATACAAGTGTGTGTAGATGTATGAATTTTTTTAAGCAAATGACTTTCTTCCTTTAATCTGAGATAGGACTAACCAAGGTTATGGGAGTTTTAATTGAAGGTTAGGGAAGCAAAAGCCCAAAGTGTATCACAGTATTCTCTAGGAAAGAGCAAGTCCACATCTCTGCTGTCACAAAGGACTTTGGGCAAGATAAGGATACTCAGATATCTGAAGGGTTGAGGAGAAAGTGCTCTTGGGTTCTTTGTTTTTTAATTTGTGTGTGTTTGTGTGTGTGTTTAAAGAAAGGGATCTTGAATGTGAGGAGTGTGAAAAAGGAAATAGGAGGCCGGGCACTGTGGCTCTTGCCTGTAATCCCAGCACCTTGGGAGGCCAAGGCGGGCAGATCACAAGGTCAAGAGTTCCAGACCAGGCTGGCCAATATGGTGAAACTCTGTCTGTACTAAAAACACAAAAATTAGCCGGGCATGGTGGCCGGAGCCTGTAATCCCAGCTACTTGGGAGGCTGAGGCAGGAGAATTGCTTGAACCCAGGAGGCGGAGGTTGCAATGAGCTGAGATCACACCATTGCAGTACAGCCTGGGCGACAGAGCAAGACTCTGTCTCAAAATAAATAAATAAATAAATAAATAAATAAATAAGTATTTCGGCTGGGCGCGGCGGCTCAGGCCTGTAATCCCAGCACTTTGGGAGGCCGAGGCCAGCGGATCACGAGGTCAGGAGATCAAGACCATCCTGGCTAACACGGTGAAACCCCGTCTCTACTGAAAATATAAAAGAAAAAATTAGCCGGGCGTGGTGGCAGGTGCCTGTAGTCCCAGCTACTTGGGTGTCTGAGGCAGGAGAATGGTGTGAACCCGGGAGGCGGAACTTGCAGTAAGCCGAGATCGCCCCACTGCACTCCAGCCTGGGCGACAGAGCGAGACTCCGTCTCACAAAAAAAAAGAAAAAAGAAAGAAAAAGAAAAAGGAAATAGGGAATTTCCAAAGAAAAATTTCATTTCTTGAAAATTTTGCCTAATACTCTTGTGTTGCTTAGAATATTTCATAATTTTCCTTTGGTGTGTGTACTTTAGTTTTTCTGTTCTAAAATGTCATCATTTTTATTTATTTATTTAAAGACAGTCTCGCCTTGTAGCCCAGGCTGGAGTGCAGTAGCCTGATCTCAGCTCACTGCTATCTCCACCTCCAGGACTCAAACGATCCTCCCACCTCCCAAGTAGCTGGGACATTTTTGTCAAGGAAGTCTCACTATACTGCCCGGGCTGGTCTCAAAACTCTTGGGCTCAAGCAATTCTCTCGCCTCAGCTTCCCAAAGTATTGGGATTATAGGCATGAACTACCATGCCTGGCCATTAAAATGTTATTATTTTTTTAAACAGGTCATAATGTGTTAGCTGCACAAATTTTTGAACATAAATACTGTCAATGATAATACAAATGATACTGATTTACAAAATTGTACCTTTGGAAAATGATAAAAGCTGTGATTTAGGAGTGGATGGCAAAATATTCAGACATTTAAGAAAAACTTCTGGAGGAAAAAACAAAACTTTCAAGGATAATTGGTGTCTCTGATCAGTGTGATTAAATTGCTAATTTTGAACTGGGTGTAGTGGTGTGTGCCTCTAATCTCAGCTACTTGGGAGGCTGAGGTGGGAGATCCCTTGAGCCCTGGAGTTGGAGTACAGCCTGGGCAACATAGCAAGACCTCATCTCAAATAAATAAATACAAAGTTCATTTACTTTGCTGACTGGCTTTTTTTCTCATTTTATATCATTATTATTTATTTTCTGAATCTGAAAATAACATTCACATTATTTCCATTTCAAACAATATAGATATATAACGTGTTTCTTTAGTCTCAGTGACCAGTGTAGATCACTGTTAACAGTTTATCTCCCTTTATTTTAATTTTTAAAATTGTTTATCAGTTGCAAATGAAGATGTATGCCCTGGAAGAAGAAAAGGTATTTATAATTTTTTAAAAATTTTTCTATCTATTAAAAGGTATTTATTTTTACAAAATAATTTAAAACATAGCTAAATGCCTTTTATTATCCGTTGTTTGCCATAACAGAAAAGAGCATTAGTAACAAACTAATGGAGGTGGTTAACTGCTTAAAATCTTAGAAAGGACTGAAGATATAATCATGTTACTTCACTTCCGTCATTTTAGAGTTCAGAATACAGAGGCCTAACAAGACTAAATGGCTTGCCAAAGGTGTCACTTTGAAGTGGCAAAATTGAGACTAGAACCCAGACCTCTTCAGGTCCCAAATTAATGTTCTTACCATTCAGTGCAGTGTTTCTATTAACCATGGTATGTTTTTAGTGCTTTTTCACTGGAATTACTGTCTTTAAAAAATATGGAAATGACTTGCAACTGGGTGCAGACCAACTGGCAAAGGGGATAAAGCTCCAACAAACCTAGAAATTTATCTGACACTAAATATTTTCTCTAGCTATTTAATAGTTAATACATGTTTTTATTATCTCAATGAACATGTTGTTAGTAATAATCACTTATAGTTTATTTTTAGCCAAAGATCTTCTGTAAAAAATTCTCATGTTTTTATATTCATTAGACAAATGCATCTGTATCTTATTAATTAGAATGTATTCTAGTTGTATTAATTAAGTAATTATAAAGTGTCTAAGTTCTCGGGTAGGATGCTCTACTGATAAAATGATTTGTCATTATAATAAGATATTCTATTTCATGATCATTGTAACCATATAAAGGCCTTATTGTAATTTTATATTTTGAAATCATTAGAAGTGTAATTTGTCACACAGATAGAAGGTTAAAGCCTGTGAAATATTTGGTTTAAAATAGAGATTTTCGTTCTTGAGCTCTTATATTTTACCCTTTTGTATTATCATTTACATTGGAAAGTACTGAAATACAGTTTTTTACTTAAAGGGAAAATATCAGCTTGCTACAGAAATAAAGGAAAAAGAAATAGAAGGATTGAAGGAAACATTAAAAGCACTACAGGTAAAAATAAGTATGTACTGTTTAAAAAGTAGTTTGGTATTTTAGCATTGTATCAGTAAAATGCCTTTAGATATGTAAGCTACAAAGAAAAGCTGACAGAAATTTATGTTTAATACATAATTTAATACTTTTTCCTGAGAGCCTTGTTTTAAAATTAGGAGTTTTACTTTACTATATTTTACTTTAGAAAGAAATATTAAAATAATTTTTAGTATATCTTATTAATATAGTTAAGTAGATGCATTTTTAACATTTTATACATAAGGAAAATGAGTAAGGCATATATATTGTAACTGACTTACCCATGGTCCTTAAAAATTAAAATAGATAGAATTTTTACTATGTGCTAAGTACTGTGCTTATTTTCTACAAATACAAAAACTAAGAAAACATTACCTTTGTCCTTAAGTTGTTCATAGTCTCTTAGAGAATACAGAAGTATTTAACTAATGATGATTCATTCAATATATATTGAGGGTCTACTATGTGCAAACACTTTTCTCAGCATTAAGGATACAACAATGATAAACAAGACAAAATCTCTGCCCTTGTGAAGCTTAGCCTAATGGGGAAGACATAAAGTAAAATGAAGTAATTAGTGGAATAATGATTGTTGGGAAGACGATATTCATGCAATTTCAAACAGATAACATTAATTACAAATAGCAAAATGTATTTTTACATTAGAAGGATCCTGAAGGTCACCACTTTAATCAAGTGATCGAGTCTAGCAATGTTAATAATGATACAGCTTTTCCGTGGATCCACTGTTATTATGCAATAAGGAGGACCGAACTTCACCTATGTAATTTTCTTACCAAAAATATTATTTGAAATCTAATTATGATGAAACAATTAGACACAATCACAATGTGTGGCACATTCTATATGACATCTAGGCTGGACTCAAAAAACTTCATTGTTAAACAAGGAAACAATAGACACTGGGGCCTACTTGAGCATGGAGGATGGGAGGAAGGTGAGGATCAAAAAAGGACCTATTGGGTTCTGTGCTTATTACCTGGGTGGTAAAATCATCTGTACAACCAACCCCCGTGACATGCAATTTACCTGTATAACAGACCTGCATATGTACCCTTGAACCTAAAAGTTCAAACCAAACCAAAACAAAAAAAACTTCAGTGTCATGAAAAAAGAAAGGGGAGCTACTTTTGATTAAAATAATAGAGGCCAAGGCAGCAGATCACTTGAAGTCAGGAGTTGGAAACCAGCCTGGCCAACATGGTGAAACTCTGTCTCTACCAAAAATACAAAAATTAGCCAGGCATGGTGGTGGGTGCCTGTAGTGCCAACTGCTCAGGAGGCTGAGGCAGGAGAATCGCTTGAATCTGGGAGGCAGAGGTTGCAGTGAGCGGAGATCACATCACTACACTCCAGCCTGGGTGACAGAGCGAGACTCCATCTCAAAAAAAAGAATATGTAGTATGTGAACTCTCACTGGATCCTGGATCAGGAATAAAACCAGCCATAAAAATTTGGAGAGGACAATTGGGATATTTGAATATGACCATATATTAGATTATATTATTGAATTATTTTCCTAGGTATAATAATATAGTAATGTCCTAGGTATAATATTATCCTAGGCATAATATTATGGTTATATAAAAGAAAGTTTTTATTCTTAGAAAATGTATGATGAAGTATTTAGGGTGAAATCACCTATTAGCTGCAACTTACTTTCAGATAGTTCAGAAAAAACGAAAAGTATGTGTATATATAAACACAAAGAAAAGTATGGGAAAATGTTAACATACATCCTAGGCTGGGTGTGGTGGCTCATGCTTGTAATCCCAGCATTTTGGGAGGCTGAGACTGGAGGACTGCGTTCCAGACCAGCCTGGGTAACAT